GAAACACACTGACAGGCTGCTACAAAACACCCAAGACTGGGGCCTAAAAGCAGATGGAAACACACCGACAGGCTGCTACAAAACACGCATGACTGGAAACTTAAAGCTGATGGAAACACACTGACAGGCTGCTACATAACACCTTAGACTAGAGCCTAGAACCTGATGCAAACACACCTACGAGTCACCACAAAACAGCCATAATTTGACCCTTAAAACCCGTGGCAACACACCGATGGGTCACTTATTTTTCTATTCTTTACATTGAAGCGACTGTAACGAACCATAATTTCCCACCAAGGATCAATAAAATATTTCTGATTCTGATTCTTAATCATAAACAACCTAAATCTGTTGTGGTGGAGCTCCCTGAGGTCAAACCTTCTGATCATATACAGGTCCATGACTGACACTTATTGACTGAAGGCTTCTTGACACTAATGAGACTCACTGCTCTGAACTATTTGCATTTGATGACAGATGAATCGAGTGAGGAATAGTTAGATAGTAATGCTGACTAACCTGTTCAGGTGACAGTCACATGACAGGGAGAGGAGAGCTCTGCTGTTACACACATATAAAACACACACACACACACACACACACACACACACACACACAGTTTTTACACAAGTCACAAAGTTCTCAACTTTCACTTCCTCTTTACAGACTGAAGCAGATGAGTTTCAGATGAACAGTGTGTGAACCACCCTGAGCTGAGGAGGAGGACGGTGAGGGAGCTTCATCACCTCCTGAGTTGTGACTGGACGCTACTTCAGCCCTCACACACACAGACACACAGGGGAGGGACCCCGGACACACAGCCGACCACAGAGCAGCTCTGTGGGCTCGAACCCACGGACACAGTGACCCACAGTGACCCACAGACCCCCCCCACACAGCACCCACAGCTCCACCCGCTGCTACATCTCAGCTCCAAGTTGAGTCAAGGCTGTCAACTTTACCTCCTGCACGGTCGGACAGGCTAGGAGACACGGTGAGGACCGAGTCCGCTTTAGTTCCCCGCAGTCCGGTACCGTGCACGCGCACCCCCCGGTCACTGTGACCGCTAACCGGCTGCGTGTCACGGGGACACACGCACGAGGCTCGTTTGACTCACCAGCAGCGCCAGCATGAACATTTTCGCCTCTCTCATCCGACTCCCGTGGCGCTTCCAAGAGGCCATGATGCCGTTGCCACGTCTGGATACGCAGGCGCAAACGGTTTTCCACGGATTCTTGGGCACTGCGCAAGGCTTCATGGGAAATGTAGTCTTTCCGGGTTTATTCAGCAGGAGGCGTTTTACCTGCCTCGTGCAGCCAGGTCCTCCTCTCGTGTCATGAGGAGAGACACCAGTGTCGGAACAAGCAGACTACATGGTGTAGTTTTATCAGCCCGCTGCAGCCATACTGCAGAACAATTAATTACACAGGAGGCTCATTAGCAAATTGACTGCTGATTGAATGGCTCTTAATTAGCTCTTTATCAATCCCACTTCCGCTCCTTCACAGCAGCCGGTTTGATTATAGCTGAAGAAACGTCTCCACACATTGTGTGGGCCCTAACACAAGGTCAGTGTATAGAGATGGACTGCAGGAAGGAACAAATACAAACAAAAGGGTTTAAAACATATTGTACCGTGAATATAAATAAATAAATTCACCTGTGAAAGACTCATGTTTGAAAAGAGCAGAAAATATTCACTAAACTGACTTTGGCTCAGTTGTTCTGCAGCAAACTGAGGTATAAAGACAGGAAAGTGCAGCAATAAACTCCTCATGACCGACCTGTTTATTTATTTATATTTTACTTTGATTTATTCATTTTGAACATTATAATAATAATAAAATGAAATAGAATATATTGTAGAAAAAATACCTACAAAACAAAGAAAAACGAGAAATCACGAACAGACTTATGATGAGAAATATAAATTAACATTTCATCATTTCATGTCTGAAAAGGAGCAGAAAGAAGTAACATGCCTGTGTAGTTCTGCCCCCAGTCGCAAACTATACATCATACTAGTCTACATCATGCTGACAGAATAGAATAGAATAGAAAAACATTTAGTTCAAGATCTGTTGTTCAGTTCAATCTGCACGTCAGGTTTCTTGCCCTCTATAAAAATGACACATAATGAAATAAAACAGCACAAACTAATTTTCTGAATGGAGTTCGGCTCAGACCAGTTTCTCAGCTTAATACTTAGCATAGAGTAGAGCAGATGGTGAAGGGTTGTCTGTGCTAATTCAAAATAATGTTTAATAAATAAAGTTTGGTTGATTGTTTTATGATCATAATTTCAGACAGGGAGCCTGAGAAAGTAAATGTCTGTTTGAATCCTACATTCAGGTCACTACAATAGCAAACTGACTTCAGTTAACTTGATCATTCAGTTTGCAGATTTAATTCCCCACACTGTAACTACTGGCTTCTAGCTGCACCACTTTCACAGTATGTTATCATATCATTTTATATTCTAAATCTCAATCATTGTTCAATGACAGCTGTATACTGTGATCACAGTAGTTATGCCTGCATGTTACTGTGATGTAGTGATAAATTACTATATCTAACAGTAACCTCACAGTTAAAGCCCGTTACATTACTGTGATATAACAGCATGTTCCTGTAAATTACTGAATTTACCTGTAACCTCACAGTTTATTTACAGCTGATTACTGTGATTTAGCAGTATGCTCCGTACAATCACTGTATTTCACTGTAATCCCACAGTTAAACTCCAGATATAACTGTGGATTAGCAGTCTGTAACATTATTTTATTTACCTGCACGAGTTTCACAATATAATTCTGTATCCAGTTAGATATCACAGTAAAAGCCTGTGAGGTGATAAATATGTATTTTATTGTGAAATATTACAGTTACATGTAACTTCCTGGAAATAATTTGCAGTGAACATGAAAATGACATGAATGACTTAATTTAACCATATCATTCACTTAAGTTCATTTTGCAGGTTTAATTTCCCTACACTGTAAAATATCTGCAAATTACTGGTAAATTACAGTAAATTACTGGATACTAGCTGCACC